AGGAGGTATTTTGACACATTAACAGCATTTCAGTCACGATATGTGAGCGACAGTCACTTTCTGTCTGCATGATAGCAGCTGGACTGGTCCTTCAGAGTGATTTTAACCAGTAAAACAGTTAGTTTGGTTCTGATGTGGGCCACAGAGCAGTCAAAATAATGCAAAGTCATGAGGATGAGAGGTTTTTAGCAGGGGATCAAATGGCTCTTCAAACAAACGCTTGACGTGAGGAGATTTCATGTGATCTTCTTCTTCTATCATCTCTCATACAGTGAGGAGGCCACAGCAGAACTTTGGAGGTTCTCTGATCGGTAGATGCCTCCCTTAGTCCAAAGGAGGTTCTGAATTCTCCAGAAATCCTGCCCCGTCCATCTAGGAACACTCACTGACTCTGTGCGACGGTTTAATCTGTAATTAACTGCAAAGTCCGGCAATAAAAGTCCGACTGAAGCAGTGAGGAAGCAGGAAGCAGAACAAAATGAAGCCAGACAGGAGCGACCTCGTGTCACATCACCCAGACAGACGAGAACAGAAGGAAAAGGTTCAGCCGGAGACGCACTGGTTCTGGTCATGTGGTGAAATAAGGACAGACGGAATCAGATGTGAGTCAATAAAACATTATTGTTTAATGTTGGTCATTAATCATGAATCCACAACACAGCAGTTTGTTTAGTGAGTAGGAAAAAACGTGAGTATTTACATCTAGCGTCGTACACGTCACAGTTTATACCCATGCTAACACGAGAAACACGTTTATATACAGGAAATACTCATGAGCATCATTGTACAAAGGGACAGCGCCGTCGTAGCTCCCCGTCTGGATCCGCCTTCGATGCAAAATACACAAAATAATAATAAGAAACGTCTCGTCAGCTGCCCTGAAACCACCACAGCAACGCCACAAAATGAGCTGCTGTCGCTCTGCTGCTGTGTCACATCCAGACAGTCGCAGCCTGCATGTGCTGGAGGTTTGCCCTGTATGACCTGTGGAGACCCGCCGCCTCCACATCCCTCCTCTGCCTCCGCTGCAGCAGAAAACAGGCCAGAGATTCAGTGGGTTCATCAGGACACTTTGCATTTAGGTTAGAAAAGTGCCAAAACCTAATTTACCTTCTCAGACTAACAAACAACTCAAAGAAGAAGCTGACGAGCAACGAAGACCTAACGAGGGGCTTTGCATAGTCGATCCTCAAATGACAGGACGTTGATTAAGTTTGTCTGGACCCTACAAACCAGCAGCAGCAGCAGCAGCTTTGAAGGGCAGGTTTTCTTTTTAAAAACCTCCAAAATGACAGTTTATCAGCTAAAAACAGACACTCTTCAGAGTTTCAGCTGTCCGACGGTCCTTGAACTGCTCATTTGTGGCGTTCAGTTGGAAATTCGATCAAATCTGAGCCTAGAATCGTGATATTTCATCATAATTACATTATTCTACACGTCTTATTGTAAAATTAGCCAAAAACAATTCGTTTGTTCTGATCAAATGCTATAAAAAAACTACAGTTGTGAGCTGAACGGTTCAGCTGAGACCAGCAGTTACGCCACAAAAAACAGTTTCAGGCTGTTTTTTATTTCACAGGAGACATGATGGAAACCAACCAGCATGTAAACAGTTGAACCCCTCCAGGATGTAGCGCCTCCATCAGGTACGTTTCATATATTTAACATCAGCTGGAGCTTCTTACACCAAACACTTTGGTGTCCTTCTGGATGAGTTCTCTCCTCTCATGATGATAGTTGTTCACAAGCTGCCAGCTCAGCTCACTGGAGTCAGAACGATGTCAAAGCTTTCATCCAACATTTCAACATCTGAACGGCACCAACCACCGATCAGTTCTGGTAGTTCATGACCGTAGAAACCGGCTCGGTCAGTCGGATCATGATACCAGACCAACCTCACCTCACTGGGACCGGATGAGCAGCGACAACATGATGAGTCCAACCGAAGCTTCAGACAGAGAGTTCTTATGACTTTTAAATGCTCATTGTTCAGAAACACGGTTAACTACACGGCAAATCATCTGGGACCTGCCAAGATTTAAAATCTTGTTTTTAGACACGATAGATAATTTGGCTTGTTTTAAAATTTATTTACTCATTTTTAGTCCTTGATTTTACAGGACAATCTTAAACTGAGCATTAAAAATATTATTTCAAGATTTCGTATCAAGTAAAATTTACTTGCTGCATGGACAGATAGCTTCACTGGTTTTAAGTCATTTTCTTCTCAAATTTAGTGTTCATATCTTATATTTGGGCGACCCCTTTTTTGCAGTGTAGAGCTGCAGCTAACGGCTAACTTTGGTCTGAAAACGCTGAAAAATGTTCATCAGATTTTCCTCAGATGTCTCGTTTTGTCCAAAGATGTTCAGTTTACCGTCACTGAGGAAAGAAACCAGAAGCTATCCACACTGAGATCACAGAACTCGTCACCGTTAAAGGACTGACAACCAGACCAGCCGACAGCTAGCTGGTTGGATAACGACTGTATTCATACATTTGGTTGGTGCATACGAGGAAAACTCTCCATCTGTTCAACTACACAAACCTCCAACTGAACGCCACGGGACGAGCGATCTGACAGAAGTTCATCCTGGTCCTACAGCATGCTGGAGGAGACCCAATCAGAGCTAAAAATCAGGATTCATTCATCACGTTCTCTGTCTGGATTTACATCTTCTGATGGAGTTTGGTTTGAAGGTTTATTTAAGGGCTGCAACTGGTGATTATTCATATCGCTGACTGTTAGCTGGTGAGGTGTTTGGTGCATCAAAGGGCAGAACATGTCAATCTGTGGCTCCCAAAACCCAAGACGTCTCGTTTAGTGTCACAGAGGAGGAAAGAAACCAGAACACATTCACATTGAAGACGCTGACATCACAGAGCTTATGTTTCAGCTGATCCAGGAATAAGTGCAGCTCTGTAGCTTCAAGAGACGTCTGAACCTAAAACACGACTAACCTCAAACAGCTATAAAACTACAAAATGGGTTCTAGTGAGACCGGTCCGGCAGAACAGACAGAAACCAGGTTGGGCAGCTAAGAAGCTGGAAGCAGGAGAGACGATCACAGTGAAAACAAAAACCAACAAAACACAAAACCTTCACAGCACTCTCACACGAGGAGGTGAGATCCTAAAACCAGAAAGTCATCAGCGTTGCTTCAGCGCGTCCAGGTCCAGGTCCAGGTCCAGGTCCAGGTCCAGTCATTCACCGTGTTTCACTGAATGAACATGCATACAAAACCTGATTAAAAAACACACGCTTCAGTACTGTCATAAAAAAATGGCAAAAAAGTGTGTTTAATAGAGTCGATGTTATAAACGCCATCCAGCTGAAGGGTCGCTCGTATTTACAGCCGCTTCCTCCAACCGGCTAACAGGAGAAACGTCGTCTTCAGGTCACGGCTTCAGCCTTAAAAGTCCTCTTCAACACATGGTCACAGCTCAGGAGGCTTGTCCTGCTTATGGCTCCTCACTTTAACCTTCCATCAAAAGGATTAAATAGAAATGATATTTATATACCTTTATATACTGTAGTACATTTATCTACATAGGCTTTGTTGGAAAATATAAATACTTTTCAGCTCCGCCGCTTTAAAATGGCTTCTATCAGTCGGCGTGTTTGCATAAAGAAACGCATCCAGCAGCTGCAGGAATTCAATCTACGTTGTTCAGGGCTCAAGGTAAAGAAATAATCAGCTTACTCACTGTTCACACCCTCATTCATCTTTCTGCACCACCTAAATAATCTCTGCTTTCATCCTTCTGCCACGTATCTTTCACATTTCGATATAAATAAGTGAGTATTTATCTCCTCTGTTCCAGTGCTCTGTTAAAGTGCTGCTTGTGTAAAATCTTCAGAGCGAGGTATCAGCAGAGCAGCAGGATCCCTGTGTGTTTACCAGCCTCCTTCTGAAAGAGGACTGTTTTAATTCATCAGTGAAAATAAAATCTGTATCTGTGCAGTTTCAGTGCATGTGTGAGAATTTAGAGATGTGTGTCATGAGGGAGTGATGACCAGCGTTTCTGAAGCCTGATGTGCTCATTGGAGGATGCAGCGTGAGAGTCCATCACTCTGACCTCCGACTTTCTGGCAGCTTCTCTCAGTGACTCAAGACAGTTCAGCTCCTGCTCTCACGTCTTCTCTCTCTAGAAAAGAGTTTTGTTTGTACAGACCGTCAGCCTACTCCTCACCCACGCCGTGCTCCCACGCCACCTTAGCCTGCTCGTCCTTGGTCGCTGCGATGATGGGCTGGGAGATCTTGCGCGGCATGGGCCGGGGGGCGGGAGGCGGCGGCGCGGACTGGCCCATCAGGGGCTCCTCTTCGGGGATGCAGCCCTCTCTGAGGTAGGGTTTGGGCGGCAGGGCTGGAGGAGGCTCGTGGAGGTGGTAGAGCGGCGGGTGGTGGGGGAGGTAGTGTGGGTGGAAGTGGTGGTGGTAGAAGTGGTGCTGAGGGTGGGGCAGCCCATCCTGCTGCTGCTGCAGCGGTGGAGCTCCAGCGGAGGCCGGGGCCGGAGCCTGGGGCTGGATTTGGACCCCCGGCTGGGCTGGAGTAACTCCCCCCGGGGCGGAGTGGCTGCGGCTGGGCGGGGCCTTGACTCCGTCCAGGACTTCAGGCTCGGAGACGCTGTACCTGACGGGCTGGTACGGCGAGTCGAGGTCCTCCTGGTCGGTGGTCCAGGCCTGGCTGCTGGGGACGGACTCCAGGGTGTCTGTGCGGCTGGCGGTGGGGTCGGAGGAGGAGGCGGGGCCGCCGAAGTTGCTCTCGCTGAGGGACGAGACTCCTGAGCTGGCGCTGCCGGACAAGGTGGAGTTACTGCCATCCAGGATGGACTGTGGACTGGTGGGCGAGGCAGGTATAGGGTGCAGGGGAGACTGGAGAGAGAGGGGGAGGTCACAGGTCAGTGTGAGCAGTCGTGTTTCCAGTTTAAGTGACTTTTGAAATACCAGAAAAAAGAAACAAAGATAACAGGAATGAGACTCATCGGCTGCTCTGAACAGAATAATCCTCAGCGTCGTCAGAAGGTGGCGCTACATACGGCTCTGGTCCAGATCACATTATACTGAAAACACCCAGGAATCCTACCGATGCAGAAAAAGTCTGCCTCGGCCACGTTATCCCACAATGCAACGCTGCAACCGGCACTGATGAAGACTAGCCTCTGTCCATCGACGACAGGTAAACGCAGAGAAGACCTCAGGAGTAAACACGTCGGCCATGTTTCATGTTCTCTGCATCAGGACTTAGTAAGAAAACGTGTTTCTCTCTTTAATGACGTACGAAAACCTTTTTTTGTTTTCATATTTTCATCACAGTTTGCGTTAACTTCTCTTAATGCGACTGACGTGATCGTAGCTCAACATCTAATTATGCAAAAAAATCTGTGAAACAAAGCAGAGACGTGTTCATCAGGAGCATTTACAACACTTTGTCTAGTTCATACGTCGTCCAGCTCATCTGCGTTCTATGTTTATTATGTTGTGTGGAAGCTTCACCCTTCAACATTAAGCCTCAGCCTGGACCTGGTGAACTGACAAATCAGAGTGATCTCAGTGCTGCCTTTATAACAGAAACTGTAAGAATGAAACAACTTGATGAAGAAGATGCACAGAGAAAGGAAAGCACATTAGATCTTTTGTGTGAAGCCCAGCTGTCCACGGGCAGATCAGGAGAAGACACGAAGGTTCAGACGTGTCAGACAACAGGAGAACACACAGAGAGGGACACGGAGGAGATTCACTGGACGATAACCGGTCGGTGTGAAGGTCCGACTGATCGGCAGAAACTCATCTGTGAACTGTGTCGAGCATCACAGCGTTCAGAGAAGAAAGAAAAGAAGTTCTGATGGACAAATGTTTTCAGCTTTTGTTCTAATCTGTGGTGTATTTTTACAAGATGTTGGATTTGCTGAAAGTTAGAGGCCGCAGACGTCTGAATGTGATGCTGCTGTCGGGAAGGAACCACGAAGGTTTGCTCTGGGACTTTAAAGGCTTGTTGTATTCTTTATACCGAGTCAAATCTTCAGCTTCAAAAAACCTGTCAGATAAACGTAGTGGAGGAGAAAGCACAGCGTTCCCTCTCATACGTGGTGGAGCTGAAGAGTCACTGGCAAATTACGCCTCGTACACTCAACACTTCTGTTCATCCTGTAAATGTCTTTATGTATGTAAAGAAAAGGGCTAAATTCATCTTCAGAAAGCTTTCAGATAAATGCAGTGGAACAAGAACAGAGCAGAAGATGGAAGTACTCGAGTAAAGTACCTCAAACTGTACTGGAGTAAATGTACTCGGTTACTTGCCACCGCTGCTTCTTCCTGTACACAGAGCTTCGGTTTGGGGTTCAGTCTTACATGAAAACAACTTTTCTGTGTGACAGTTTCGTGCTGAAGTCGTTCAGGACTAAATGTGACGACGTCTGGTGAGTCTGAACACTGACTTAACACACACACATTAGAACAGACACAAAGAAACACACACGGAGGGCAGGCAGACATCAGCAGGAGGAGGAGGAAGAAACAGAGGAGGAGGAAGAGGAGGTGGAGGAAGAGGAGGGTACCTTTCTTAAGGAGCGCGCAGGGAGAGCTGGAGGGAGGTCGCTGACCTGGTGGTGGAAAGCGTCAAAGTGCATCGACAGGTGTTGGCCTACAGGGGGAGACACAGCAGGACTGACTGAGAGATGCAGACTCACACCTCAGACCAGAGAAGAAGAAGAAGAAGAGGAGGAGGGGGAGGGGGAGGAGGAGGAGGAGGTGAGGAGAAACCGAGGGGAGAGCGTTGGCTGACAGAGGGGCAGCGTGGAGCAGAGAGGAGGTGGAGGAGTGTGAGGGAGGAGGTCGGGTCAGGAGGTTTAAGGTCTGAACAACAAGTCGTCTGGTTTTTCCTCCCACTGGTTCATTTACCTGAAGAAGGAGAGACACCTCAGACACGTCTTCTGTCAGTTAGAACGATGGAAACCATTAAAGAAAAACTGAATTTGTTTGATTATTTGTTCTTCACAAATCTGGCTTCAACATGTCCACACAGGCGTGGTCGAGGTTTCAGGTGTGTTGCTGATATTAATACATGAACCCATCTACAGTCTCACTAATGCCATTAAAACTAGAGTCTAACAGTTCTGGTTACACTCTGACGGTAAATATTCAAGACAGGAACATTAACTCAGAAGGTGAGATGAGCTACTGAAGTAACTCTGAGCAGCAAATTGAAAAAAGCAAACCTGTAGAGTGACGACTTCACCATCATCACTTCATACAGTCACACTAGCACTCAGAGTTATTCAACACTAACATACAACCCGACGACAGAAACTAACTGAGGTAATTACAGTTTGACACACTGATGAGACACGAAAGAAAATAAACCTCAACGTTACACTGACTGTCACCGTCTGTCCATTAACGCTTCACATATTCACTGAAGAAGTCAGTGACAGTCAGCACACAGGAGAACACGAGGGTTTTAAACGGGACATTTTGAAAAAAAGATTGTATTCAACAGTACGAAAGCAATTTTGTGCAAAGATTCGACAACAGCTGCTCTGTTCAGGTGGAAATAAACCAAACGGTGACTCTACGTACGATAGATAAGTAACTACAGTCACTAAATGTGAAACCTTCTTCTGTGTCGGATATCAAGGCTGTCGGATTGTCAAGATGGAGGTCCAGATACGAGGAGGGCTTGATGCTGGAAGGCTCATTAGTTAATACTTATTGTTCATAGTTGTTATAATAACTAGTAGTTCTGGTCCCAATAGAACTTTCTGCTCTCTGGATATTCAGGCCCAATTAATGATGAATATCAGAATATTCGGCGGGTCGGGGGACACTTCCACCCCAGCGCTCTGACGGGGTGGAATCAATAAACGCCCGATCAATAAAAGTGATTTCCTTTAATCAGAGGGTTTACAGAGGATTAACTTATCGTGACTAACTAGCTGAGCAGTTCAGTTCTGAGTGACGACGTGTGATTCTCTCTGCTGTGCCCTCATTAATGTCAGACGGCGTGAATAACTCAGTGATCTCAGGTGAGCAGGTAACCGACAGACAAACCAACACGTTGCCTTTGGTGGCTGACCGGGGTGTGATGATAATCTGCCACGTATGACCCACGATCGGCCCGTGAGCTGTAACGATCGGCCGACCAGGACTTGAAACGGGAAAAAGTTACTCCTGGAATCAATTTCGGGGAATTTCGTGATGACAGAAACTGGGATCGTGACATTATTCTGTCTGATAAACAGGCTGTTTCAATTCAGGTTATACAGGAAATGATCCCGGACTTCGATGTGTTATGATTATAAACGGGATACTCTAGAAAGCGGTCTGACATTAAGTGGGCAGCACTGTATCTGCATTTAAAGGAGTCGCCCCCTGCTGGCGGTTAGAGAGAATACAGGAGACGTTTATGTTTTATCTGCAGTCTTTGGCACAGAAACCCCCCCAAAAATCCCCCTCTACCAGACATGCAGCCAACGCTGAGGCAAACCGACACTCAGGTGTTCAGAGGTCACACTCAGGCAGCAGGAGGTTCGTACCATGGGGCAGGTTGCGAGGAGGAACTGGTGGCGCCATGACGCTGCCGACGTGGGCCGAGAGGAAGGGAAGGGCTTCTCTGGTGCCGCTGTCCAAGCTCCAGCTGCTGGGAGTGGTGAGGACTGGGGGACATGGACAGAACATAAATGTGCTGTACGTTTACGGCTAGTCTTGTGTGCTGCGTTGTGAAAGCGCGTCCGCTGACCTTTCTCCGCCACAGAGAGGTTGGGGTCGCTGCAGGGCTTACATGGGCCGATCACCTGGTGGAACAAGGCCCGCTGGAAGTTTGTCGGCTGAAGAGAAAGAGAGACACTCAACATTAATAGCTGCAGGCACAAAAGTCCAATCACCAGGGCCCAGCTGTCCAGAAGTTCTGATTTAGTTCATCAGAACATGGTTAAAAACAGTAAAATTGGACGTCTTTAGGATCCATTTTGTATGTTTTTTTAACACTGAAGATCTTTGGCAGGAAAATGATTCAAGTAATAAAATGTCATAAAATCCAAAATGGTAAAAATCTGAAGTGGAAACATAATATTCAAAAATATACGTTTACTGTAAAGCGAAAAATGTAGTGTTCAAAAAAAATAAACTAAAACAGGGCTGTAGAAACTGTGCAGGAAGCCTGACTGGCCGGTCCGTCCGTACCTGTCCATTCTCGGTGATGTTGGTGTACATGGCGCTGCTCGGCCGCTCTCTGTGGGGCGGCAGCAGCATCAGCATCTCTCTGTTGTGTCTGTATTTGTCCGGCAGCGACGGCGATCCGACTGCAGGCGGACAGACGGGACGTTAAGACAGAAACGCTCACAGATGCATGAGAGGAACGTGAAACATGACTTTCTCCCGACTAAACGCTGCAGCGGCTGATTGCTGCTCACCTCTGATGGTGGAGGGGGCGGAGTTTATCATCTGAGGAGGCGCCGAGTGGGTGGAGCTAAGACTGGAGGAGGACGGGCTCGCCTGCAGCAAAATTATTAGAATTATAAAACAAATAATGTAAAGCTAACTGCACACATCTGGCAGCAAAGGAGCCAAAAAATACTGTAAGGTTTAGAAAATGTAAAGAACAGTAAAAGAAAGAGCTGCAATGACAACGTCAGCAGATTTAAAAACAGTCAAAAAAAAAGTGTAACTTTACGGTCAAAGTAAAAAATCACACTTTTACTGCTATATGAATATAAATAATGAGGTTTTTTTTAAGTTGATTTGAGGACAGTTTCAGGCACACTGTAAAAGAACTAATTGCTTTTTATAAAACAGATTTTTGAAGTGGACAATATGTACAGATTACTTTGATTATTTTCTCTATGATTTTACTCGGTATTATCGGAAATTTAACCAAACAGGCAAAATCTGTAAAAAAAAAACAACAGTTTACAGAATTATTTACCGTTTTCCATATTCTAAATAAAGAACAGCAAATACATGTAAACTCAACACATTTTATCCTAATTTAAATACAATAAATGTATAAAAAATAGAAATAGAAATAAGTCCCATTTGTAGAAATACAGATTTTTGATGCTTCTTGATGGTCACCATGTAAATAAACACACTTTCCTGTGGTTTCGTTTGCTAGCTGTGATTTTACAAAGCAGGGGAATCTGTGAACTGCTAAGACGGTTGTTTTTGTTTCCTGGACTGCTGGTACAGTCTCCTCTGTGGGGGCCATTAGGTGATACTTCACATACCTGCATGCGGTAGAAGTCCTCGGGATGCTCCACCACCATGCCGTCAGCCAGGATCAGCAGGTTGCCCACATTTCCCATCTCACTGGAGTTGTGAGAGGAGAGAGAGGAGGAGGAGTTGCGCACTAAAGTCAAAACAGCAACGGGACTGGGAGCAGGAAGAGAAAGGCCGGACAGAGAGGAGGTGGGAGAGGAGGAGGAGGAGGAGGAGGAGGAGGAAGAGGGAATGAACGAGGAGGGTGGAGTGGAAGCACAGGCAGGAGGGAAACGCCACCAGAGCGAGGAGCAGAGAACAACCGAAACCAGAGGAGGGAGCCAAAAAAATAACGTCCGAAAACATGCGTGAGGTGGTTCAGAGTCGGCCGAGAAACATGCGAGAAGAAAAGACGTGGGGCGGTGGTGGTGAGGAACCAAAGTCAGAGAGAGAGAAAGGAGAAGTTTCAGAAAGTGAGCAGAAAACTAGCAGAGATCGTTAATGAGAGGCAGATGTGGAGGTGAGGAGGAGTGTGCTGGCAGCTCAGTGCGATGGACGGGTGTCTGCAGTGGTCGCCAGATGTTAGTGTGATCCTCCACTAATACCACTCTGTTGATTCTACAGCTGGCCACAGCAGGGAGCGCTGGTGAGTGGGTATGGGGGTGTTACTGGAGATAAACTGTCTGGAGAGCTGTGTGTCTGAGATCTGTCAGTGTGTACAAAGATATTAATAGCAGGCAAGTTTTCTTTCACAAAACCACTGAAATGACACCATTTATGAGGAACAAGCACGCCCAGAATCTACTTCAGAGGGTAAATGTAGATTCCAGTAATTCTTATGGCTGTAGTTCCTGAGTGGTCGGGAGGTTTCTGCAGAAGGAGACGAAGCTCAGAGGCCAGAAACAGGCAACGCTTTACCAAAGAGACACAGAATGAAACCCAAAACTACGACAAAGTGACCGCTGACGACACAGAATGCGGACAAGGACACACAAAGACGGCGAGATGGCGGCATGGACACATGCAGCGGCTTCAATCTGCGGTGGAACGGTGTGGCGCGCAGACGGTAACACTCTGTGGAGAGGATTATCAGCTAACCGCTCAGGAAAGCAGAAAAACGCTCTAAAGGCCTCCACACACCTCAGGAGGACGCCACTGAACAGCAAAGACAACAACAGCCAGGTTCACAAGTTTTCTCCTCCGGCCTTCTCGGCACTAAGTTCTCCAACACCTCGACGTCTGCTGCTGGTTACAATCCACTTTGACCTTCCTGGCTTGTTTTTACTGTGAGTCACCTTCAAGATGACCAGCCACTGATGGACGTGTGTGAGTCAATCTCTGCTTTGCACCAAGATAATTCAGTGCAGTGACAATTAAAGCTGCAAGCAGCGATGGTCGGGTCCTCGCCGTACGATTGTTGACCGTTGCGCATGTTGGGTTGTGGCGCGAACGTGCTCCGGGCGGGACTCTGATCCGGTGTGTCGACTTTCAGGCAGATTGGAGCACGTGTGACCTAGTTATACGCCACTTCCTGTTAGCATAATAGCAAGCCGAGGCAGCGTGCGTGTTGGGCCGTGGCGGCAACACGCTCTGGCCGAGACTCGGAGCACGTAGACGTTACAAAGCACGTCTCGTTTTATGGCGTTTTATGGTGTTTTGCCGACATTCCAGGGGCCGCCATTTTGACGCCGTCAGACTTTTGCGGACCGCTTTAATAACTTTTAATCACCACCTCCTGTAGTTTGTGCTGGCCAGATTTTAGGTGTCTATGACGTACCCCCTAGGAGGAGATAGATTTTGAAAAAGGCTAAAAATGAGGGGAAATTGCTGAATTTCTCGCCATATTTTTTCAAAATGGCGGACTTCCTGTTGGGTTTAGGACTTGGCGATGATTTACTTTTTTGTGTGTCCCAACCTGCTACATATGCCCATCAAATCTCGTAGGTCTAGGCCAAACGTGCTTCCGACGAGACTCCGTTGAACTTCTCTCGGGGTGCTATCAAAGTTTTTGCCAGTCCTGATGTGTGTGAAGATTTTGGTGCGTTTTCGAGCACGTTTAGGTGAAAAGAAACTGTGATAGTCACAGCGGTTCCATTAGAGCCTGATGAAGACACAAAACAACCACAAAGAGACACAAACTGACAACAAAGAGCCACAAAACACCCACAAAAACACACAAGAGGACCAGAGAGCGTCATTCTGTGTCTCGTTCCTTGTTTTTTTTTTGATCTTATGACATTTATCAGTGAATATTTTTTAAGGCTGTTTGATGGTGTTCCAGTGTTGGCGCCGTGCAGGTACCCTGGATGAGGATGGTGGTGTGGACGGATCGGAGGCTCGGCACCGTGACGGTGTGTGTCTGTGGGGCTGACCTGTGTCGGTGCATCAGCTTGAAGCTCTCGGGGCTCATGGGGCTGTGGGAGGTCAGGATCCCTCTGGGGGTGTTGGCTCCGGAACCGGCCTTATCCAAACCAGGCAGACCCTGCAACGCCACATAGAAGCACTGCTCTGAATATCCACACTGCCCCACACGTGTGTGCTCGAGTGGAAAAAACATTCAAGCAAAAGCTCCCTTCAGACAAATTCAGATTTGGGAATAATGAAGTTAGAAACTGAAGAGGTGAAACGTTCACAGAGTCCAGATTCCTGGCAGTGACGCGGTTATCGTAGCTGGAAGCTCCATCGCGTCCTCTTTGAAGAAACTACTAATTAGGCTCCCTCATTGTGTTGATCCACCTTCCAGCATGCGCAGCACAGAAGGATCCTCCTCTAGACCCAGCGTCCTATTTTAGCTCATGAACAACCTACAGAACAGTTCCTGACTCCATCCGTCTCTCATTACCTTCCTTCCCGGAGCCCTGCACCTTAAAAACTGAGCGATCTGACGTGAGAAGGTCTTTCTGTGAACGTTGGCGTGCACTCACATGGCAGAGGCTGCTCCTCATCATCTGGAACTGATCGATCAGCTTCTTGTGCAGGGGACGCATTTCTGGGTGCACCAGCTTCTCGTGCACGGCCAGGCCGACCCCAAGGATGTGGACCTGCAGGAAAAACAGCAAAACTTGAGCATGAAGAGAGTGAATGTAGTTTCTTTAAAGCCTCTCCAGCTCCATTATATTATACATTAGTCATGTTGTTTATTCATTACTTATATAATATAAAATATTTACAGCTGTTGACCAGACTGAAGGAACATTTCTTACACATCTCAGGTTGATTCTTGAAATTATTTTTGTCTCATGAGACTATTTAGTCAAAACTGTTCAGTCCAGCAGTCGACCATCTGATGACGGCGTCTCAGTGAACCATGTTCTGATTAGCTGGTCGCTGGCAGGAATAAAACCCCCAGTCGGACACGATCCTTCACACGACGGCTCCCTGCGGTGGTTGGGTTGTAAACACACTGAGCAGGATGTCCCAGATGTGGAGACATGTCACAGGATGAAGCAGAAAGCTGACAGCGTCACACAGACTCAGGGTTTCCACCAGTGAAGCTCTCCTGGCAGCTGGAACCAGTATTCAGAAACCATCCTTCTGTTTATAACCCTGTTGGTCTGATTCCCTCTGAGCCGTTTCAGACACATCTTAGCGGCTTCATTTCAAACCACAAAGACTGCCGGTCACTTACGGACGAGTTAGAGGTTAAACTGGGCCATGGTCTCCACTCACACTGAGCTCTGGTCTAGTGCTAAGCGTACCTGTGTGGGACCAGGTGAGGCTGTAAGCAGCAGCCCAGTGTGTGGAGAACCCTCTGTGGGTAAACCCCGTCTCACCTGCTCCTGCATCAGGTCTTTGAGCTGCGTGATCTTCTCTGTGTCTTCAGGGTGGCTGGTGATGTACTCCTTATCGAAGAAAGCCTGGTGACAGAGAAAGAAACACAAAGCACAACTTCATCAAGACATTATCATCACATGACTGTCAAATCTACGCCGGTACGTTTCTGTCCTGTTGCTATCTGCTGGTGGATTTGTGTCACTGCATTACACGTCTAGACATTAATGAGAAACCAGATAATTAGACCAAGCTTCATAGATTCCAGTGCTTCCCTTTAATCCCTGCAGTGCAGATTCACACAGACTGTGTCCATGACTGACTAACATCAGCCTGGACTCCAGCCTCTACATAGGTCCATGTAGGTGTTCCCAGTGTGCGACCACTGAGGAGATAAACCATCTGATAGCTCTGAGCTACGCTGAAAGTCACTGAGTTAAGAAGGAGGTAAATGCTGGACTGTTAGTGACGTAAGAGTCGATGTGTTTTGTACGTTAGACGTGTTTTAGAATCACTGCACAGCAAGAACTGACCTTCAGACAACAACTCCAACACAAGAGCATCACAAACAAGCAGCTACACAACGGTCTGGTCCAGCTGGCTGTAAAACACGGGTCTCACCAGCAGGACCAAACCCATGAGCTGAAATAAAGCGTCTTGCTCCGACCTCTTGGTATCTGGCGATGCCTCCGTTGACGGCGGCGTCGATGACGCCGTTCAGCGTCATGCTGAGCAGGTTGATGTTGCCGTGCAGCTGCTTGTGCTGGTACTGGCTGATCAGGGTCCGCAGCTCCTGGTTCTTGTTCTCCACCACGGAGATGGCGTTTTCTAACGGACTCACCTCCACCTGAGACACACAGACGAACGGAGGAACAACCTGAGAAGCTGGAAGCTGTGGGGTTTCCCTGATCAGAGGACATGTTCCGGCCTCCTTTAATAACTCCTGTGATATTTCATATTTACACATCAAACATGCAACACCTGCAAATTTTTATTTTAAATGTATTGTTTGTGCTTTTATTCAGAGCAGAAGGGAGACAGGAAAAGGGAGAAGAACAGGGAGAGACCTGCAGCAAAGGCTGGTGAGCGGGAGTCGAACCCACGACCGCTGCATCAGGGACTACAGCCCTGCTCATGGGCCGCCCGCTCAGCCAGGTGAGCTGTAGGGACGCCCCACACCTGCACATTTATCTAGAAAGGTTCATACTTCATTTCATTTACAACAGAGCAGTCAACACGACTCTGATGACGGCTTTCCTTTCAAACAATTCAGCCTCGTGGTCACTTGTCTGAAACCTGATGTCACCTCGCTGGATGCTGAACATGAATGAACAAGAATCTCAGCGCTCCGGTGTTTCTTGTTGGGTTTTCGCTGAACTGCTGATGTTCTTTCTCAGCTGCTGACTTGTTTAAATGGTGTTCCTAAAGCTGAAAGAGTCTTTTTCTGTGTTACCTACAAATATCTACATGATTTATCTGAAAAATGACCCAAATTAGTGAAGGGAACCACATTTTTGTGCCATGCAGATTCAAATCTAACAAAAACAAAAATAACACAAACATATTGCTGTGTCGCCTTATTCTGCATGCAGGAGTGTAACTGTAGTCTTCATTTACTCACCAGCTCTCTCTTCTCCACCTCAAACCAGCGTGAGATCCCGGGCAGAGGGTGGGTGAGGATCAGAGTGGTCCGTTCTATCCACAGACTCTGAAACGACACCAACAGTCTGACTCACGAGGTCTGAGCTCAGCTTCAGCACAACTCTCAGTAAAACATGAATCATCACATTTAGACTCTTGTTATTGTTCAGTGGTCTGTGTTTTGGTTTCCTCCGTTTTCCCTCAGTGTGTTGATCGCCGGCTTTTGTTTTTGTTTTGTGCATATCAAAGTTCTGCAGACTTACAAAACCTAAACCTCCTCTGCTTAACTTTCCTACGCCTCCGTGTACCACATCTGCACAACTCCAGCTGGTTGGATCACTGCTGCTGAAGCTCCTGTGATGTCACTCCACGGGTTTCCCTGCATGCGGATCAGGGTGCGGCCATTTTCTGCTGAAGAAGCGCTTGGACGCCCAGATCTCGGTTTGTCTTCCAAGCTGTTGGTCGGTCGGTATTTCTGCTGCTGAAGGACTGCATCTGCACTTCCTGCCTATCTGGCAGCAGCCATATCCTGAGAATCTGGCGTGTCTTCAGGCGTGTTAGGTTCCTTGTTTCAGCCATTTGTGTCTCTGAAGAGCTTTCAAATGTGCCGGTTTTATATAGACACGAAGCACGGCGACAAAAATGGTGTTTTTTAATAAAAAGCCTTCATTAGTGGATCACTGGTACCAAAGTGACCCAACACTCAACATATCTGATGTATTCTTATGGAACCAGAAGCTTTTAGTGGCTTTTTTTAGGATTCGTTTAGTGTTTTGGCTGTGACTACACTGAAAGAAAGTGCACTTGAAGACTGAAGACTGATTCTTAATGCAGTATTTCACAAATGATTCCACCGTATGTTCAACTTTTCTTCACTTTGGTCAGAAGCATAATTCTGTCTTTCAGCTAAAATGTACCGTGCAGGTCAGATGCAGTGTTTTATGGTCTTGTGAAGCTTTTGGAGGGAACTGGGATGCAAAGCAACTGCAATTAATGAGATGCTAATGAAGCTGCTGCAACATGTCCAATAGAAACTATGATTTCCAGTTGGTGTAACAGAAGTAGATAAGCCTGTTGACCAGTCCAGTGGGATCTAATTAAGCCAAAACCAACACAGAAAAGTGACTCACATTGACAGTCCCATTGAACTTCCCCCGCTCACCTTGAACTCATTTTCTCTGTCTTTGGGTCCTTTGTGGAAGGGCCGGTCGTAGCGGAACCGCCGGACGTTGTTCACCCGGTAGAAGCTCTTGATGCGGTCGGGCACTCTGTCCATCTGCAGGACGCTGACGCTGTCTGGCACCGGCGTCACCGCGTAGATCTGGAGGTCTTCAGTGAGGAGGACGGAGGTCAAGGAGCTGACTGAACTCACAGCGTCTTTATGGACTCACAGCGTAACGCAGTCCTGACATCCCTCCCTGCTCAGCTTCAGCATCATTCACATGTGGGCGTGAACATAAGGCAGCACCTTCTGGGTGTTTCTGCTTCTGACTGGTGGGAAGTTCCAGATGTTTATTCTGGTGGCCGACTCACATGAACCACGGCTGGTCAATAAGCCAAACCTCACATGAGTGAGTGATGGTGACACTGCCTGGGGAGGGATGTCAGGGCTGGATTATAAACGGCTGGATTATTGATAAGTGATGATCGACCAGGTGAGGCAGAGGAGTTCCAGGACTGGTGTCACAGAAGATCTATTTCAAACTACCAGCTAGGAGTTTTCCTCTTCAGACGATCAACCAGCACGTCTACAGAGATCCTGAAGCGTTTGCTTCGTCCAGAAGAGGCAGCGTTGTGTCAGGACCAGTGGTGGCTGCTTCACCATGACAACCTGCTCACAGCGCCCTGAGCATCCCACAGCTCCTGGCTGAGAAGAACATCTCCATGCTGGAGCAACCTCCCTACTCACCCCACCTGGCTCTGTGGGGTTGGTTCCTCTTCCCCAAGCTCAAGGGGGTCATCAAGGGGACCCGTTTAAAAAACGTGGACGACATTTTTAGAAGACGTGGACGACATCAAGATGGCTGTGACGACGGCGCTCAGAGGATCCTGGAAGAATCCTTTCAGGAGTGCATGGCGGCATGAAGAGAAGGCTGGAGGAGGGTGTTAGACTCCAAGAGGATTACTGGTAGTTTGGATTTGAAGTATATCTTTAGTGACACCAGTCCTGGAACTTTTCCGACACACCTCGTAGACGCCCTCCCATGTTCCAGTTCAGCATAGATGGCTTCTTTAGGTGGACGTCTACACCTCCACTTACCTGCTGCTGATAATGCAGCCCTGACATCCCTCCCAGGCTGTGTCACCATCATTCACAGCTCGAGTCATGTGGGGTTAGAAAAAAATTGAGGTGGGAACCCTGCTGGATGCTGGTGAAGCATGTTAACTACCAAAGACGAGTGCAGCTGCCTCCTGTTGAAGCACTGACTGAGCATCTACACTGACATGAACATGGTGCTGTGTAGTCGGTCCACTCAGCAGCATCACCGGCCTCCTGCTGAAGGATACACTGGGCATCACACTGCAGGATGGCCTCGTCCGGCTGATTGGGGTGCTGCATCGCAATGGCTTGTGGGAATTCTCCCAGCATCCTTTGCTGGAAGGCCTCCAAGCGTTCGTAGTCGTGGCCACGGCAGACAAACTCCTTGTTCTGGTGTGAGTCAGTCAGAAGGAAACAGAACAGAGAGAAACAGTCAGAACAGCTTCCATCTAACAACAGGTTTGGATGTTTGTGGTTTTCAGAAGGTGAACCCTCTGAGCTCTGAGCAGTGTGTGGGCGGTTTGCTCTCCTGGTTTCACTGCAATACAGTGAGATTAGTGTTTAGTTAGTAGAAGTCCTGACCTCTACGGAAACAGAACAACTATGAAGGAGAGAGAAGACAAACAAGACAATTGGAGTCAAGTGATTTTGATGAAATACATTTCAGGACGATCAGAGAGTTGACAATCTGACTATTCTTTCTGTTTCTTTCTGATAAAAAGTGTGAGTTTGTCCTTTAAAGAACACACACACACACACACACACACACACACACACAGTACTTAACAGGTGTATCAGACCTCCACCTAATGTCAGGTTTATGTCAGAGCTGCTCTAAATAAACAGCACTGGGAATTACCAACATCATATTTTATGTTTCTGCCTTTTAAACTTGCCAGCAGCTCTTAGAGTTCAGCGAGTTGAAGGCTTCTATCTGTCTACTTTTCAGACATAGCTGATAAGCCTTAGAGAAGCTGACAGACCACTCACCCTGAGGAAGAAGGGGAACTTCCTGCCGTAGAACCCCACCCTGAAGAACTCCGGCTCCAGACGCTGCTGCTCCATGATGTTGTCGTAGTACGCCGCCTCCATCTTCTGCACAGTCAGGACACAAAGGCAGGACGGCGGTGACAAGCCACACTCACAGAATGCGAATATAAACAACAAACAGTCACGTCTACGTAGCACTGAACTCTACCGGATCAGAGACAGAACAGCCTCCAGAGGAGATCTTCTGATATTCAGATATATGACGTGGTCAGTCCACGTATGTTCAGACAGCTCCACCGTCAACTGTGACTTCACACATACATCAGGTTCTACTGACGTTAGAGCCTCAACAGTTGATGTAATGAGACCAAAGACTGGATTCTAGTAGAACCATGGATCCATCCATAGATAGACACTGACAGGACCTTTCTGGATCAACACCAGCCTGGTTTGGAGATTTTGCATTTTCTTTCTGTTTTAAACGGCCAAAAATGTTTGTTTTGTTGTTTTCTTATTGTCATTTTGGACTGTTTTCGGTGGTTCTGGACGATGTTTGAGTCATTATGAACAACTTTGACTTATTTCAATAAGCTTTAGAGAATTCTGAGTGGCTTTGGACTCATTTTGTTTAGCTTTTGGACACGTTTCAGGTTACTGGGGGCAAGTTTCAAGTGAAATTAACAACAACAAAAAAAAACCTGGAACCTTGTCTGGTCCATCACATCAGGTTCTGCTGATGTTAGAGCCTCAACAGTTAGTGAAATGTGACCAGAGACTGGATCCCAGTAGAACCATGGATCCATCCATAGACAGACACTGACAGGACCTTTCTGGATCAGTTACACTTTTTAAGTAATTTTAAACAAATCTTGAGTAATTCTGAGTGCAATTTGAGTCATTTATGAGTAATTTTAATCAATTTCAAGTCACTTTGGGACATTTTTGACTCATTTCTGGACTAATTTTGAGTGAATTTATAGAATTTCAGCCATCTTGAAGAATTTGAAAAACTATTTTAGACACGTTTCAAGTCATTTTGGACAATAACGAAACATTTTGGGAAAGTTTGAGTCATTTTGGGACGTATTTGGTACAGATTTGACTCATTTTTGTAAACATTTTGAGTGATTTTTGTAGAATTTTGAGCCATTTTTAAGAATTTTAAGCCATTTAGACACATTTCAAGTCATTTCAGACAATAACAGGAAATATTTCCAGCTTCACCACATCAGGTTCTACTGATGTTAGAGCCTCAACAGGTGGTGAAATGTGACCAGAGACTGGATTCTAGTAGAACCATGGATCCATCCATAGACAGACAGGAACCTTCTGGAGACACGGTACCAGCCTCGTTGTAAATTTTACAATTGTTTTTTTTCCATTTTCAAGGACCAATAATTCTAAATGTGTCCCTGTTGCATCCATCCAATCCTTCTGATCTGCCGGAAACTCTCCAGTCTGAGTCCTCACCACGTTCCATGTCAGTGGGAGTTTAATTTCTGGAGATATCAAACCCTTAAAATGGTTTTACAGGTAAGATGGGGGTTTATTTGAGGATGAAAACGGTCTGAAAACGTAAAAATCTCTAAATTCTGCCAAAAATATTTTACAGAATTCAGATTTGTGTCCCAAATAGCGAATATGCCAAATCTACAGATGACCTGGATTCTGTCTGGATTAACGTGGACCGACCCGGTAAGGAAAACAGTGACAGGTACGACAGAAAAGCACAGTTTGAAGCTCACCCGGATCCAGCTGAGACTCTGGTAGTCGTACAGAGATTCATACTGGAAGGCCAGCTCCCTGCACAGAGGAATACCGTACTCCCAACACTGCAGCGTGCGCACACACACACACACACACACACACACACACACTTTAGTGAGGCTTAAAGCAAACATACTGCTCGCTACGCTATGTTCACTGTATTTACGTGTTTAACGAGAAACTTAATCTGCGACTATTTTGACGACAGAATAATAAAAAAAATTTTTTAACCAAAAGTGCCAAATAATTCCAAGTTCCAGCCTCTTAAAGATAACTTGCTGGTCTGGTTTACATGAAAACAGCCCATTTTTACTGTTTTCTGGCTTTTTCTGGACAAACTAACAGCTAAATCATTAAGACAGAACCAACGTGCTCTGTTCATAGCAAACAACAACGGGGCAGAAATCTCTTCTGCAAACTGAAGTCAGAGAGTCCTTTACTTGACTCACCTGCAGGCCACGTTTCTTTCACTATTTGTTGCTATTTAATGTGCTTTAACAGGCAAAGCAGTTGTTTATAATGTGCAGAAAAGCTCCGGTAACTCAGTGGAACTTTTCTGGCTAAATAAAGAGCAAATAATAATAAAAAAAAGTGAGTCAGTTTGTAAGTCTGAGCTCCTCAGATCATTTCAGGGAAGACCCGCGGATCTGAAACACGTTCTGGAGCCTTAAAGAGCTTTTAAAGCAATCGATAAAATCCTAAAGTACATCCTGAAACTAATCCAGTGTGGTGATGCTACAGGTTGGGATAGGGTTATGGTTTCCTGTGTTTCCTGGTTTCAGTAGAAAGTCAAGGTGGTTTCTGATTCTGATTCTGATTCTTCAGAACAGTAAATGTTTGGGTGATAACGTCAATATTTAAAACATAAAACTGGAAACAAAACTGTTGGAAATAAGTTTAAATGATAAAAACAATCAATTACATACTACTGAAAATAACTGCTAGTTGCAGAACCTTTGTCCAACGTCAACACCTTATTTAAAAACGTTAAACATGACTGATAATGATGTAACTGTATTGATTTCAGCGTAGGTCAGAGACAGCAGTGTGTGGAGAATAGACTAGTCTGCATGTGTTCTCTGTGTAGCTCTGCTGTCTGACGCTGTGCTGCCGTCGTCCTCCCGCCTCACGGGATCGGAGCCGTGCACGGACAGGCGACGCCTTACCTTTCCCTTGTTGAAGTAGTGGATGACTTTGCGGCAGAGGCCCTCCTTGCGGTGCCACTCGGTCTGAGCGGGGTAGTGCAGGAACTCCTTCAGAGGCCGCTCGTCCCAGTGCAGCAGCTCCCAGTACAGCAGCAGAGTGAAGGCAGCCTCTGTGGACGCAACAAGCAGCACGTCACCCACAAGTAGGTGTGTGTGTGT